ATTAATTTTAAAATTTAAAGCTTGAATTTGTTATCAGCGACTTGAAACATAGTTAAAATGATATCCATCTCGGTTAAACTATACTCTACAAGCTTGTATCTATGAAGGAATTACCGTTTTTTGCATGAATTTCATATTTACTGGATTGCACTCTATGTTTAACAATTTTCGTTGTGCGACAAATATATTTCCGCAGTACTGCATTAATGCACAAGTCTTCCTGAGCATTTATAAAAAAAAATCAACGGGATATCTTAAAAATTGTGCTGTCACAAGAATTTTGTCCAAAAACAGCACGGAATTTCCCACTGTGCGACGGCTCGATCCGTGGCTCGCGGAATAGATCGTGCGACGAGAACCGTAGTTCGCGGAATAAGCGCCTATTTTCGAGGAATCAGAACGGCGTTTCGTGGATTCTTAATCTCCGTGTAAATAAGTGTATATATTCTGTGTAAATATATTCTGTAAATAGACATACGAGAGTTAACTTGAAATAAGCCCCGTTCCCGCGCCTCTAACTCGATCTTCCTTCTGCTCACGCACATTTATTGGTCCTTCGAGCCGGATTTCGCGATATCCGCGCCGCGAGTGAGTGGTCAAGGGTGAGCTTCTCGTGCTACGAGTGACCGCCTGGAAGACGAAGATGAGCAACCCTGAGATGGAGGGACTTATCCGTTCGCAGAACGAACTGCACGGACGCATCGCGCGCGCCTATGAAAACTTGAAGAAAGCGGGAGGCGCAAGATTGACAATGGGACTGGTGGATGCTCGCCTCCAAGCCTTGGAATCGAACTGGAACAAGTTCGAGGAACAACACGGCAAACTGCTACTAATGCCTCCAGAGGTTCTCGCCGCCACTGACTATAAGAAACAGGACCTCCCGGCTTTGGTGGAGGAGACCTTCTTAACGCAGAAGGGAATGTTCCTGGACGTCCTCCTGTCGCACAAGGCGAGGGAGGAGGCTGCAGCTAAGAGTGAGACGTCGGAGACGGCGACAACGACTAATCGCACCACGTTACCGCGGATTCAGCTGCCGGAATTCTCAGGAAAATACGAGGACTGGCCGTCGTTCCGCGACCTCTTCCACTCTCTCATAGGCCGGGACGCTAACACGACGCCGGTGGAGAAGCTGCACTACCTCAAAACTTCCTTGAAAGGTGAGGCTGAGTTATTAGTCCGGAATATCGCGACGACGGCCGAAAATTATAACAATGCGTGGGACGTATTGAATGCGTATTATGAGAACAAGCGACTTCTCACCCGCGCGTATCTGTCCAATTTCCTTGCGCTAACGAAAATGAAGAGTGAATCGGCGGTCGAGCTTCGAAAGATTTTCCACGGCGTCAAAGCAACGGTCAGCTCGTTGGCGAGTATCGGTCGGCCTATAAACCGTAGCGAGGACCTATTCATTTATCTGGCGGTCGAACTTCTGGATCCGCGTTTGCGACGCGAGTGGGAAACGTCAATCGGCGACACGACCGAGCCTCCGACGTATGCGACTCTCGAGCAATTCCTGGATCGGCAGCTGCATACGCTCGAGTCGATGCAGCCTGCTAAGGTCGACGGAGCCGTCGGTAAGGCCGCGAGCGGAGCCGCCAAATCCGCGCGGAGCCACCTCGCTCGGAAGCAGGAGGGAAATCCGGACGCCAAGCGAGGTCGTTGCCACTGCTGCCAAAAGGACCATATCCTCATGTTCTGCGAGGACTACAAGAGGAAAACAGCCCAGGAACGGAAGCAGCTCGTCGACAACAAGAACCTGTGCCTGAACTGCCTCGGTTCTCACAAGGTCAGTGAGTGCGCGTCGAAGAAGGGGTGTGCAGCGTGTGGCGCGCGACACCATACTTCCGTCCACGATGCGTGTCGCGAGGTCGAGGTCGCGAAGACGGTTCACGCGGCTCAAGGACTTGCCGTAAAGCCGAGCGCGGTGCTCCTCGCCACCGCTCGCGTTCGCGTAGCCGATCGGTTCGGAACCTTGCATCACGCTCGCGCGCTGGTCGACCAGGGATCGGAGTCGTCCCTTGTGACCGAGCGCCTCGCGCAAAGATTAAAGTTACCGCGTTCTCGCACGTCGGTTTCGATATTCGGCGTCGGCGGACAGAAAACGGCCGTCGCAAAAGGACGCGTATCGCTGACTCTCGCGCCGCGAACCGACGGCCCCGCGATGTCGGTCTCCGCGCTCGTGCTCCCCCGGCTCACTATATACGCCGGCGGTGTCGAGGCCGTCGCTGACGCGTGGACTCATCTTCGGGGTCTGGAGCTGGCGGACCCCGAGTTCAGCGCGTCCGACTCGGTGGACATTCTCCTCGGTGCCGACGTTTACGCGGAAATATTACAAGAGGGACTTCGCAAGGGGGGTAGCCGCGAGCCCGTCGCGCAAAACACGACTCTTGGCTGGATTCTGTCCGGCGCTATCGGTGAAGGTGCTTCGAGTCACGTCGCGCAATCCTACCAGTGCCGTGTCGAGGACGAACTGTCGCAACTGGTGAGACGATTTTGGGAGCAGGAGGAGGTTCCGTCGGCTGCCGGACCGCTCTCGAAAGCCGATCAGGAGTGTGAGGAACATTTCGCGCGCACACATTCGCGTAAGCCCGACGGGCGCTACGTAGTGCGACTCCCCGTCGTCGAGCCGATGCCGAATCTCTGTGGTACGCGCCGCGCGGCCGTTCGCGTGATGAAGGCCATGGAAGCGAAGTTTGCGCGGGATGCTTCCTTCCATGCGCTGTATACAGATTTCATGCGTCAATATGTCGAGCTCGGGCATATGACGCCGGTCGATCCTCCGGCCGATCCGGCGAAAATGGCCGTCTGCTATCTGCCTCACCATGGAGTGATGAAGGAAACCAGCACGACGACGAAATTGCGAGTCGTCTTCAACGGTTCTTCCGCGCTGCCGACGGGAGCGGCGCTAAATAAGTATCTGCAGACCGGGCCGAACTTGCTGCCGGCTTTGGCCGAGATCTTACTCCGTTGGCGGCGTCACCGGTACGTTTTCGCGGCGGACATAGAGAAAATGTACCGGCAGATCGAAGTCCACCCGGAAGACAGGGATCTGCAGCGCATAGTCTGGCGTGAGAGTCCTAGCGATGTGTTGCAGGAATTTCTTTTAATCACTCTCACGTACGGGCTTGCTTGTTCCGCGTTCCTGGCGATTCGCACGCTCCATCAGCTGGAAAAGGACGAGGGAGTCGAGTTCCCGCTAGGAGCTATCGCCCTCCTACTGGAGACCTACATGGACGACGTATTGTCTGGCGCGGACACGATTTCGAGGGCCAAAGAGATCCGTCGTCAGCTGGACCGAATCTGCATGGCGGGCGGCTTCCCGCTCAAGAAGTGGTCGGCGAACGAGGCGTCGATACTCGATGAGGTCCCTCCTGAGGATCGCCTTCAACGCGAGCCCCGGTGGTGGCTCCCGGGAGAGAGCCACTTGACCCTCGGGCTGCGTTGGCATCCACGCGAAGATCAGTTCGCCTACTCGACGCAACTGACCCAACTGAAGGCTATTACGAAGCGGTCGGTCTTATCTTTAGCCGCTCGGCTATTCGATCCGCTGGGGTGGCTCGCCCCCACTACCGTATTAGCTAAAATTTTGTTTCAGTCCACCTGGTTGCTGGGATTGGATTGGGACACGCAGCTCCCTGACACCGACGTCCGACGATGGCTCGAATTCCAGGCCGGACTGCCTCTACTGGAAACGATCCGAGTGCCCCGATGGCTGGAGAGCGATCAAGAAGGTGTTAAGCGCGAACTGCACGGATTCGCCGACGCCTCGGAAAAGGCGTACGCAGCGGTGGTCTACCTGCGGACCGAAAGCTCGAGCGGCGAAGTAGTCGTGAGCCTCGTGACAGCGAAAACCAAAGTCGCTCCGTTAAAGCAGGTCAGTCTTGCACGGTTGGAGCTAAACGCTGCCGCCTTACTCGTCCGACTCGCCAATCATGCTCGGCGGGTCCTCAAGATAGAAGAGGATCCGACCCATCTGTGGACTGATGCGACCGTAGTGCTGGGCTGGATTCGAGGTCACCCTGCTTCCTGGAAGACATACGTGGCAAACAGAGTGAGTGAGATTCAGCTCACTCTCCCTGACGCTTATTGGCATCACGTCCCCGGGCGTGAAAACCCCGCCGACTGCGCGTCCCGAGGCCTCTTACCAAGGGAACTCGTGGAGCACCCGCTCTGGTGGCAGGGCCCGGCGTGGCTCCGAACTAAAACCGGTCCGCTCCCTTGGACGACGAAGTACCAGTCGACCTCCCGGAACGGCGCTCTCACATACATGCCGTGGCAGCCGCTACGGAGGAGCCCGAGCTGCTGACGAGGTACTCATCCCTGACGAGCTTGGCGCGGACGACAGCTTGGTGCCGCCGTTGGCTGCGGTGCCTGCGGGCGAGGCGGACTGCCCACGAGAAGCAGCCCGATTCCTCCGCTGGGCTCGTACTAACACGCGAGGAGCTCAACGACGCCATCGTGGGTTGGATCGGCTGGGTTCAATCCATTCATTTCAAGGGGGAAGCGATGGCCCTCCAAAAGAATTGGACTTTACAACAGACTATACGAAAATAAAAACATAAGTATTTTCACTTCTGCGAATTAAGAAGTTATTAATAATAGATGAATTTCGGAACATTTGTGTAAAAACTTGTAACATTTAACTAAAAATTACAAATTTTAATTAGCCATAATTGTAATAAATTTTTTAGCTGTACAAACAAAACGGTATTTGTTAGTATTTGTACGCAGTTGTAGTATTTTATGAGAAACTGAAAACTAAATTAGATTCTAAGTTGCATAGTTTTACGATACGTAAATTGTAGTAGATTTCTATAGTCCTTTATAAATAATTTTAGTATTCTACAAGTAAGCAGATGTTTTAATTTTTTAAGATTTTGTTTTTTCTTAAATTTTTAAAATTTTTAGATCTTTGTACTATTTTTTATAAAATTGTAATTTTTCATACTACTTGCAATAATTTCTTGATTTGAGAACATTGTAATTTGTAGTACTATGATCGTGGTCGTAGATATTTCTACAAAAAAATAACTATTTCTACAAAAAATTAAATATTTCAACAAAAATGTACAAATTTCTATTTCTAGTCAAATTTTGTAGTTATTTATAGAAATATTTCCGCTAGAGATGGTAGGACACGCGTCTTGTGTGTCAGCTGACGCGTGCGACGTTGCCAAGCAGCCACTCAAGACGGCCGCCATGACTCTTGTGTCGTGTCGAAACGTCGAAAGTTGCCGAAAGTTTGTCGAAAGTTTCGCTTTATTTATAGGTACGGTCAATCAGTTTGGTGTCGCGTCAGTATCTTTAGAAATGTTTATTGCATCGATTAAACAATTTTTTATTCGTTCATCTACTCGAGAAGTATGAACGTATTCCATGAGAATGTGCGATCTGACCCCCTTTTCCCTATTATCACCATGTAAAATTGGCAAAGTTTACGGACATATATCTCCGGCACCAAGCGGTAAAAAAATTCGAAATTTTTCAGACACACTCTAGAAACGTTAACCTTTCATTTAATATTATATTTTCCGGGCTATCTACATTTGACCTAAATGCAAGAACCACCTTAAAGCGCGTCACTATAACCTATGTAGGTTAGTGACGCGCTTTAAATAGTTAAATACAAAATATCTGCTTTAATGAAAATCACAACTTCAAAATAATACATTCAATTTTAATTACTTATTGGATTCATATTAAGATCGAACATTTCTCTATAGAAAACGCTGTAACTGTACACACTGCTGCGTCGCATTTGTCCCAATTGCTACAAAGAATAAAAAACAATATACGACTTGTTTGCTATAGTTATCAATTAATATTGAAAGAATTATCTCATGGTTTAAATATCGATATCTATACTCAATATTGCGCTTCCTCTCAGCTGTGTATGCATTTTTTAGCGTAAAAGTTAATATATCATGCAAAAATTCTTTTGATATCCCATTTATATATACAAAATTGACAATAATCATTCGGTTATGATCTGTAAAATTTTTATCTCAGAACATTTGCCGTATAAATTTCGGCCACGTATTTGCATTGCCAATGATGTCCTGAATCGCAAGCCACGGATTATTATTTAATTGCTGGACTGAGTATGCCATTGTAAGATTAAGATGTGCAGGTTGTGAATGACAAAGATATTTATTTAAGTAAGACGCGTCGAAGTACACTACATTCCAGCGAGAAATGACCCATCGAATCGACGTCAAATTGACGTCGAAATTATCGATATTACATCATATCAAAATAATGCTCGAAATTTGAAGCTTATTTCGATGTTTGTGCTTTATGACATTTTTTAAAAAAAGAGATTATTTGTGACATACATTTATCACGCCAGACTGTAAACAAGCAAATTATGTATTTTTTGTTAAGACATCCATATTTCATCATTTCGATATCGATTCGAAGCTATTTTGATTTGCCTGTCAAATATATAATAACATTGCGGGGACTTGGTTAGAGGGCGTGTGAGTGTATGGACGTGTGTAATTGACGTTGTGATATTAGATCGTATTTAGAGAGTTTTAGAGTAAAGTGCGTAGTATAGCAGCGTTTGAGAGTAAGAGGAGAGGCGTGAGAAGCGGTGTGAGTGAAGGCGTTGTATGGTAGAGCGTTAAAGCTTAAATTTTCGGCTTGTTTTTGGCAAGCGGTTTTGTACAGGTTATGGCGTCGAGTGGCTCAGCGGGCGCGGGAAATGACGGAAAAGTAAGTGAGGTAGGAAGGCCGCGCAAACCCGACGGTACAGTCGATGGTAAACGGAGGAAGTTGGTAACGGAGGCAGGCAAAAGTGTTAGGTTTAAAGAAGAGGTGGATGAGAAAACTATAATATAAATATGCTGAGGAAGGAAATTAATGAGGTCAGGGAACAATCTAATGAGAGAATTTCGAAGTGTGTGAGTAAAATAGAGGAAGTAAAAGAAAATTTTGAACAATATAAAAAAGAATGTAAAAAAAGAGAGGAAGGCTTGGAGGAGAGGCTAAAGGAGATAGAACGTAGGTTAATAGATTTGGAAAATAGGTGGATTGGCTGGCTGGAGCGTAATGAAAAAGGGATGGATAAAAATAAAGAGATAGATTCAACCGGGGAAAGTGAAGGGGAGAAAAGTTTAAGTGAAAGCAGAGAGCCTAGAAGTTTAAGAGGGAGTAGTTGCGTAGGCTCCTTTATGAGCGAGGATAGGTTAAGTTATCGTAAGGTAGGTAAATTGAAGAGATGGATAAAAGATAAGAAAAAAGAGGATAGGGGGAATAATGTAGTAATAAAAGAATTGAGGTTGGATAACGAAATTGCAAACTGGAAGGTATGGGTGCAAAATTTTTTATTAGAAAAGCTAGATGTGAAATGCTTGGTCAGTAATGTCAGGAAAAGTGGGATGGTTATTATTGTAAAACTAGAGTATGAGGATAAAAGTGACCCTGCATAAAACGTCTTATTCAAAAATATTGTTTCGCATTCACGAGATTTTGTCATGAATTCTGCTTTGCTACAATTTCGGATTGGATCACGGGTCAATACTTTTCAGTGCGATACTGGGAATAGAACGTGAAAATCTTGTATGCCTCTGAATTCAAAAACAATTAGCAGAAGAAGTGAATCCTTTTTAATGCGAGAATTCGCATTTGTTTGAAGGTTATCGATTGCGATTGAATGCGAGGAATATTTTAAGCTAAGTGAATTCTTGCGAACCAATACTTTTCAATCCCTTTCTTCGCATCAGAAAGCAGAATTTAAATTAATTCTTTTTAATCCGACATTTTATGCAGGGCTGGAGGGTGGAAAGAGTGGAGCTGATTAAAGTCAAGGGAGGAAGGTTTCATTTTGTCTGAAATAACTAAGGGAGGATTAATAAATATAATATCGGTGTATGTTTGAAATGCGATGAGATAATGAGGAGAGAAAGGTGAATGTTGCCATCTATGACATTTCATAGAAAGTACTAGCGATTTTGTAAACTCACTTCCGTTGACGGATCTAGTTTCCCTAGAAAATTTGTATAGCGTAAAGCGCTAGAGGCGCGACGTATCGGTATTCAATTATTCATGTAATTGCCACGTGAGGAAGAAAGCGCGCGTGCATATACAAGCTTGCGGCCCGGGCAACCCGCGTTATTTGTTTCTTGTTTGTCATTCAGTCAAGACATGTATCTGGCCTTCTGCCGTATAATCTGAATACGTAGTGATATTGTAATACGGATCTTTCTGAACGGCGACTTGTGATACTCTCTGGAGGAAAAGAGGTACTAGAGGATTCGAAGGGCTTTAATTAGCACACGGCAGGACTGTGGGCGGTCTCATTCTCGGACGTATGAGAGATCGACGCCATTGCTCCGTTTCTTGATGATGACGGCATGATTTGGAGAGATGACCAGGGAACGACATGTTATGGGCATTGTCCGTTCAGATCTCTTTTAGAAGTGCATCCACACACGGTAGACACCAGTATACAGGTAACTCTTAGATTTTTTATTAAGAATCATTGATCCTCATAAACAGTATCGGTTACGATCATTGATTCCAGAAATCTCGAGAGATCTACCGTTCAGTAAAAGACATATGAAAGGCTTCCGCACTCAGCGAAGCATTTTGTTGACGGGAACGATAATCGTTCTTCTCACTTGAGTACTCAAGTTATTTGTTTTCGCCAAATATTGGCCAAATATTATAATTTATGCAAGTTTGCGATATGTTTAATTCTATTTTCTTTGGTAATTAATTTCTCATATTTCTTGATACATATTTGCGATGAGATTCATTTGTTAAATTAATACGAATTATAATGCGTCAAATGTTCGATATAAGATTTATATTGCTTCAATTGTTCTAAACAAGATTCGTCAAAGAATTCAACACTCATTTACTCAGAAATTGTAATTAAAGGTGCGATACACAATTACATTCTTGCTTTGTATTATACATCGATTTATGCGAAATACTTTAAAACTTTCTTTACGTTTTCACGAATTGATGTTGGATTAATGCGTTTAATAAAGGTTTAATTTTCCTTTTAATTTCACGGAATAAGTTCCATTTACTATTCATAAGAAAAGTATTCAAGGTCATCTTTGATGATACTTTTCTTCTTGTATATTTATATTTCCTTGATCTAAGATATTCTATTCCTTAATATAGATTATCATTCAACGCATTATTCTACTTATAAATTATTGTGCTAATATTTGCATGATTATTTTGGTTATTTATTGATTATGGTATTATGTTTTGTCATGTCTAATGGTCTTTTCAGTGATTAAAACGATTTAAAGATATATTCGAAGCTCTCATACAAATATTAATTCT